GTCCCTAATTAAAAAATAGTAAGCAAATGCAGGAGGTTGGTGGGAGAAGCTATGAATTATTCTGCCTCGTCCTGGGGTGTTCCGGGGTCCTGGCTGTGTCTGCTTCCGGGGGAACGCCCGTTCAGCAGGTGAGGATCCAGGATAGGGAAGAAGGAAACTCACCAGACCTGGGAGATATCCCACAGAGGGGTAACCTGTCCCTGTCCTCAGCTGGTGACTTCAATACTGGAAAACTTCTGCTTCAGGTCGTCCCTTTAAGGATCCAGTCCAGCACTGCGCTAGGGTTTCCGCTCTCAGGCCGTCTAAGGGAGCTGCTCATGGTCCACGAGCTACAGAGGAGACAGGACTCTCTCCAGCCCAGACCAGCTGCCTCTCCAACCACTCGGCCCTTCCCTTCCCCGCCCTACTTCAAACACCCTAGACTGCCATGCCCAGGCCTTTTAACCCCTTCTGTGCCTCTGCCCTGTCCTTGGCCTTCCGGGACAAAGGGTGGCCACAGGACTCAGGCTGCTGTGGAGACAGGTGCGGGAAGCTCGGCTGGATTTACCCCACAAGAGTGGATGTGGGAGCCTGATCCCCCAGTAAACTGTCACCCTCCCTCTGTCAGGGGCAAGGAGGAACCAGGGATGAAAGAAAGAGGGCATCTCAGGACAGGAGCCACCCCTTGGAGCCTGCTGAACGGCAGGGTGCTTGTGGGATCCTCAGTCCTTTACCCCCTCTCCCAGTGGCCTTCAAAATGGCTGGGTGGTCCCTTTAAGAGGCAGGTTACAGCAGTGGAGAAGGAAATATTGTGTTTTTTGTATGAAAGCGCAGGGAGGAGCAATTACAAGGCAGCTCCTTATGAAGAGAGCATTGGCTTTCGCCAACAGGAACAGGGTGGCCAGGCAACTGGGCACACACAGGACTCATGGCACTGCTTGTTGTGGAGACGGCAGCAGGATGTTTGGCCGGCTCCTCCACCCTCTCCCTGATAACAGCTTGAGGGGAGTGTGTGGCTGACTCACCTGCTTCTCCCCCCAGGGCAGGGGACAGACGGGTAGACCCTGGACTTCCTGAGGGAACCTCCGTGGGCCATGGCATCTAGGAAAAAGGCTTGCTAGAGCCGAGGGACCTTGGCTGACTCTGCTAACTCCCTGGTAAGGAGAGCTCGGTTATCTGAGCATCACTCCTTCATGTGGAAAACTGGGACAGATGTCAGCTAGAAATGCACAAATATTGTAATGGACAATGAATGCCAGGCTGGTAGCAGTCAATAGCTGTGCAGGCTGCCACCTGCCTGTACCCTTGTAGCCCCTTGACTGGGTTGTTCCTGATCTGTTAGTGAGAGGATCCAGTTAGGTGCTCCATCGTCAATCCTTCTTCTGAGTGAGAGTAAGAAGACAGCCCTGGCTGGGGCCTAAACTGCACTGTAAGAAAGTGACGTTGGTTGTTTCTTCCTGCATGAGAACACAGGAGAGGCTTGGCATGGTGGCACATTCCTATAATCCCAGCACTTGAGAGGCTGAGGCAGGAGGATCGCTGAGAGTTCAAGGCCACCCTGAGCTACACGGTGAGACCCTGATCTACACAGAGAGACCCTGTCTCTAAAAAAAAAAAAGGAAATACCTGAACCATTTTACAAGTGAGGGCCCTCAGAAATCCTCTATTTTGGGATTATCCAGAGGCTGAAACAGGCTGTCCATGGAGAAGTAGCCTCCTGAATTCATACAGCCAGTGAACACCAAAGTGGGGCAGCTAGGCGGAAATTCTCACAGCTACTTCCGTTCACTTTCTTCAGGCAGAGTCTAAAGGCCTACTATAGGAAAGGGGCAGAAGTCAGGCACTGGCTCCTCCTGGTACCAGGGCTGGGTGTGTAGATGATCAGATGCCAGCTAAAATGTGGGCAACGTGGGAGGGCTCCACAGCTGGTCTGCAGAGGGTGGGGGTTCTGGTGGCTGGGTCAGTATCCGTGTTGCCTGTTAGGGAGGCGCCTCCGGCTGGGCACCCAATCTCCAGGAAGGAGGTGGGGTTAGTACCTTCTCACCTTTTCCCCCCTCACAGAGCTGCCTTCAACTGAAGGTCAAGTTTGGGCCTCCAGAGGCTGATCTTCAGTTAAGCTGGCTGCCACTCATCCTATCAGACTTCCTTTACTGAGAAGGTAAGAGGGCGCAGTCCCCACACCAACTACTCCTCTAAGTCTCTGTGTCTATAGATTTTAGAAGCTCTTATATTCTCCACCACTACCACTTAAGGGAGGTTCAAATTCCATCCTGACTCCAAGGAAGCTGATCTCTTGAGAGATGAAGTATCTGGTTTTGGCATCTTTTCAAGGTGCCCCGAGACACGAACAGCCTCTACAATGCTTCTCTTGTCAGCTGTGGGCTCCTGGGTCCCCCTCCTAGTTTCCTTCCCCATAACAAGCACCAGACACAAAGTACTGAGTTCTGCAGAGACAGACCTCCCAGGCCTTCAGGAGAGCAGTACGGAGTGTGGACCAGGGGAAAAAAAAATCTACCTTCCAGTTAGGAGGTGCACAAAACCCAGCTGTACACCAGAACCCCTCCTCCTCTAGGTTAACTCATTTTATATCTGGTGACAACTCTACAGATGGAGAGGGATTCCCTGCTCCAGAAGCAGACATCCGAGTCCTGGAGAGCAAGACGCTAAGTACTGAACTACCCAAGCCTCTGACCCGCTGCCCTGTTCTCCCCTCTCCTGAGCATTTCCAGGTTTCCACTGAAGCACAATGAACACAAGCAAATATCTTTCCTGCCCTCTGACCTGGCCCATCCTGGGATGTCCAAGGCGCAGCCCCTGAAAGAGGGTGGTGAGCTGGCGGAGGGCAACTCCATTTGGAGCCTCCCGCTGTCTCCATGTCCTTTTCATCTTCTGGGGCCCAGAGGCTCCTGCTGCTGGGCAAGGGAAAGGTTAAACCGGTTGGGCAGGGGAACAAAGCTGCTGTTTGTTGGGTTTCCCTCCTGCCTGGGAGGCCATTCTCAGACCACGGCATTCCTGGGTTGGACAGAGTCAGCTTACACTGGCTTCTCCCTGCTGCCCTTCCATGTCAGGCCCCAAGCCAGGGATCTAGCACTTCTTCCTGCCCTGGGCTTAGAGCACAGGGCATCAAAAATAAACACACTCGAGCTCAAGCAACACTAGTTCCGCAACAAGAAAGGGGCTGGAATTAGAGAGAAGCACCAGCTTCTCAAGAGTGGTGGTAAATGGATCAGAGGGACAAGGCACAGGAAGGGCTAAGGACCACCTCCTCCAGCTGTGGAGAGCTGGCAGACAGGGAAAGTTCAGGGGACACATCATGACTGCCATGTGGCGAGCACTCAGGGAAGACAGACTCAGAAGGGACAGACCACCCAAAGCCCCATGGCAAGGAGACAACTTGGCTGACTTGTCCAAGAGCCAGGGCACTCTGGCCTGAGCTCCAGCAACCACCTCTGCTCACCAGCTGACAGGAAAACAGACAAGTCAGTGTGGTATTTGTTTTTATTAGAAAACCCCATTTGGTAAGCGCTTCCTTACCCAGACAGAGACTAGGTGGCCTCCAAGAGTCCCACAGCTTTCCGACGGGGGAGGGCAGGGTCAGGAGGGCTCAGGCAGCCAAAGGTCTCTCCTGGACTCCCAAGGGCGCACATGGCCAGCAATATACCGACAGCACCTCAGTGGGGGCTCAGAAGCACTGTGGGCTGCAGGCTGTGGCCAAAGGCAGCCCAGTTTGTATGGCTTCGTGGTGGAACCAAGGAGGCCCCCAAAGACTCCCAGGTCCAGTCCTTTACTCTGGCTAAGCGCAGGATCCAGGAGAAGGTGGCCAAGGCTAAGGACGAAGAGACTACATTTGCGAGACCCTCTGGAGCCTGGAAAGCACCTGGTTTCTTGGGAGAGGAGGGCGAGAGCCCCCTCAGTTCTTCTTGTTTTTGGGTGTGTCGTATTTCCTCTTGCTGGAGTACCACAGAAGCAGGGGGATGCCGATGGAGGGAAGGGTCATGACTCCGAAGGCTGCCCAGTCCAGCTGTGGAGGAAAACAAAGGACGAGGGTACAGAAACAGGCAGGGAAGGAACAGGACCAGTGAGCAAGGAAAGCAGTCTAGCCCAACTTCAAGCAGACACTGGAAAGCTCCTCCCTGACTATGCCTGATACAGAATGGCTCTGAAGGACCAATCAGGCTTTCAGGCTGTGAAGCCAGGGCCTTGCCTGACTCAGCACCGACTAGCTTCCACAGTGTGAGAAAATGGAGCTGCCCAGCTCTGTCCCCTACTGTCAGGGTTCCCCTGGGCTGCCCTCAGGTTTATGCCGGTGGCCCTCTCTTCTAGGCTTCCACCTCTCTGTTGCCTTCCAGCCTCCAGAAATGACCTGCTGCTCTGGGGTCACACGCTTTCTCATGTCTGAGTGGCTCTCTCTTCCTAGGATGCTGCTCTTCCCTCTTGATTGGTTAAACTTTTTTTGACCTTTGAGGATGGAATGCCAGGAGAGACCGATGCATGTTCCTTCAGCACTGGCCATAAAACCACATCATAGCACTTCCCCCATTTACTTTTTTTTAAAGAAATTTGCATTAGCTTTTTTAAAAAATTTTATTTATTTTATTTTGTGTGTGTGTGTGTGTGGCCAGCTCAGCCCACCAGGGGGCGGGGCTGGCTGGCATGTGGTAATGGGGGATTGAACCTCGGTCCCTGTGCTTTGCTAAACTTGTTCTAAGTAGGTGCTTTAGACCACTGAGCCATCTCACCAGCCCCCCCCCCCTTTTTTTTTAACAGTATGGATATTAAACTCAGGGCCTCCACACTAAGCTATATCCCCAATCCTTTTTTATTCTTTTCTTTTTTTTTTTTGGTAGAACCAGGGATTGAATTCAGGCCCTTGCACTTGCCAGGGAAGCACTTATTCTACTGAGCCATTTTCCCAGCCCTCCTTTTTTATTCTAAAGTAGTTTCACTCAATTGCTAAATTGCCCAGGCTAGGCTCAAACATACAATCCTGCCTCAGCTTCCCAGAGTACTAGGATTATAGGAATGCGCCACCTAATCCAGTTTTCCATTTATGCACCGAGTCTTCTAAATCTATACAATCTTTTTTTTTTTTTAAAGAATTATTTATTTATTTATTCATTCATTCATTCATTTTGTGTGTGTGGCCAGCTCAGCCCACCAGGGGGCGGGGCTGTCTGGCATGTGGTGCTGGGGGATTGAACCGCGGTCCCTGTGTTTTTGCTTAGCTTAGCTTGTTCTAAGTAGGTGCTTTAGACCACTGAGCCATCTCACCAGCCCCCTAAATCTATACAATCTTAATGGAAGGGACTATGTCATGACCACTGTTTCCTGAAGCAAAGTTTAGAATGAGCACATAATAGAAAGTGAATGAATAAATGAATTCCTTCAATCAGTATTTTAGTCAAGTCCTCAAAAAATTTCCTCCCAACATTCAACCACAACAAATATCCCACTTTGCTTTCTCAATGCTCTATGACTCTAAAGCTAACCAGATTTTAAATCTCAAAATAGCCCCTTGACTTTTTTTTTTGCAGAACCAGGGATTGAACTCAGGCCCTTGCGCTTGCCAGGCAAGCATTTATTCTGCTGAGCTATCTCCCCGGCCCCCTGAAAAGGCCAATTCTATAGCTCTGGCTATGGTGATCTTGTTGATGAAAATCTCTGGGAATGGTTAAATTGGGATACTTGGTGGCTGTCTCTATTAGACACCAGGAGAAGCCAGCCAGGGGCAGGCCAACCAACAAATCACCTACAGACTGAGACGTTCCAGAATCTACAGGGTGCTCACATACCAGGGAAATGAAAAGAGACCATAAGCTTACAAAATGGGGGGAGAATCTTCTATCAAACTCGCGCTGAGCCAGGATCCCGCCCTGTCCGGGTGCACTGGTAGACCCGATCTGAAAGGAAGAAAAGAACATTAGGCCAAGCCTGCAGTTCACCTCACGTGGGGACGGGCACCCCAAGCCACCCAACTCTAATCACCATAGTCTTAGTTCCCAAGGAGTCCCAGTGCTTCAACATGAGGAAGGGCCAAGGGTTGCCCTGAGGTACAGTGCTTGCCTAGCAGGGCCTGGGTTCTAGCCCTAGCATGGAGAGAGGCTGTTGGGGGAGATGAGGGAAAGCTTCTGAACTAGAAGGAGGTGGATGATTCTCTTAGCCCTTGGGAGGAAAAAATTAGGACGCAGGAGGCCTAAGAAAAACCATTGCTTGTTTTCTTTTTTTGTACTTAGGACAGGGTCTACAGGGACTGTAGATTGGACTCGTGGTGATTCTCCTGTTTTCAGCCTCCCAAGTGCTGGGATTACAGGCTTGCACCACCACACCCAGGCTTTTTTTGGTGGGACTGGGGATTGAATTCAGGCCCTTGCACTTATTCCACTGAGCCATCTCCCTGGCCCCACCATGCCCAGTCTTAATTGCCCTCTCAGTGTGCACCGTGGGCGGGGCCGGCACCACACAACGGGGATCAAATCCTGGCCACGGCACTCTGTCTAAGCAGGTGCTTTAATCTGCTGAGCTATCAGGCCAGCTGAAAAACCATTTCTTTCTCTTTTTCATTTTTTTGGCGGAACTAGGGATTGAACTCAGGCCCTTGTGCTTGCCAGGCAAGCACTTCTTCTATTGAGCTATCTCCCCAGCCCCCGAAAAACCATTTCTTTTCTTTTCTTCTTTTTTTTTTTTGGGTGGAACTGGAGATTGAACTCAGGCCCTTGCGCTTGCCAGGGAAGCAGGGAAACGCTTATTCTACTGAGCCATCTCCCCAGCCCCCAAAATCATTTTTTTTTTTAAATTTTATTTATTTGTGTGTGTGTGTGTGTGTGGCCAGCTCAGTCCACCAGGGGGCAGGGCTGGCTGGCATGTGGTGCTGGGGGATCGAACCGCAGTCCCTGTGCTTTGCTAAGCTTGTTCTAAGTAGGGGCTTTAGACTACTAAGCCATCTCACCAGCCCCAAAATCATTTTCTTAAAGCATTTAAGAAACAAAAAGTCATCCAGGCAACCCGCTTGGGTCTCCTTCGGTCCCTCTCTTGGACAGCTTTCTTTCCCCCAATAGATATATTCTGTTCTTTAAAAAATAAAATAAAAAATAAATAAAGCCAGTCAACTGTGCATTTGAGGTTAAGGCTCAATCCTCCAGGCACGGCCTCAGCCTCTGCACGGGGTGACACTGCTCACCTGGCAGCTGCCCCACAGGCCCATGTGTACACAGGCGTGACGTGCTGAGGGCAAGCACATACTCACTTTTCAAGTGAAACACTCTTCCTACTTCGCAGGCTGATATGAGGCACAAATAAATGCTGAGGAGTCTTCTGAAAGTATAACGTCCCACCCAAACATACAGCACCGAGGAGGGCCGAGGCCAGGCCACATTCCTCTGCTCTGAGAGGCGGCTGGGCATCTGGAGCACACTGCAAACAACTGTGTTCCAAGGTGGCAGCTGATTCTTAGATCCTACATTCATTAACCCACCCAGCCCCAGGTAGAAACAGTCTTGAGGCTTGTTCTGAAAGCAGAACTGACACAGATGCGAAAACACCGCTAGGATTGTGTGTTCCAGGTGGGATAGCAAAAGGGAATTTTAGAAAGTGCAGTGAGGGCTGGGGAGATGGTTCAGTGGAATAAGCACTTCCCTGGCAAGTGCAAGGGCCTGAGTTCAATCCCCGGTTCCACCAAAAAAAAAGTACACTGAGTGTTAAAAGAATTTTAATTTTTTACTATGTATTTGGTATAGGGTCTCACTAAGCAGCTCGGATTTATGGTGATCCACCTGTTTTCAGCCTCCCCAGTGCTGGAATTACAGGTATGCACCATCACGCCCTCTCTCAATTTTTTGTGTTTTTTGACACAGAGTCCCATGATGCACCTCAAGCTGGCCTGAAACTCAAGAACCTGCTGCCTCAGCTTCCTGAGAGCATCGGCTATAGGCACAAGCCAGTGTACCTGGCTAGCACTTCAGATTTCTTTGCGCTCTACAGATGTCTGTCAAGTTGCTTCTTTACCCTGAACTCACTAAACCTACAGCTTCCATGTACGGTCCTGTCAGAAGACCAGGAATTTTAGCTTCATAAATGTACAACCAGGCTTTGTTTTTCTTTTCTGCAACACTGGTGACTGATCCTTGTGCGTGCTAGGCAAGTGCTCCTCAACTGAGCTATAGCCCCACTGCTTTTGCTAAGTTTTAGTTTGAAACAGATCTTGCTAAAGTTGGTCTCTAACTTGCAATCCTGCCTCAGCCTCCCATGCAGCTGGGATTAAAGCCTGTGTCACCCTGCTCAGCTTCAAGGTCTGAACTTTGAAGGCTGGACAGAATCTCAATCTTTTGCTAGTTTCCACAGTTGCAAGGACTCAATAATCAATGGCATTAATCAATCAAAAGATTATCCACTAAATATTAGAATTGCAGTCCTTGACCTCAAGCAACTTATAATGAAATGGGAAGGGAGGGGAGGAGGAGGAAGAAGACCCACTCATAAGAAACCCATTGCTCCCAGGTTCTGCCAAAAAAAGAAAGAAAGAAAGAAACCCATTGCCAGGTGTGGTAGCACACACCTGTAATCCCAGCACTCAGGAGGCTGAGGGAGATAGATCAGATAGATCATTGTGAGTTCAAGGCCAGCCTGGGCTACATAGTGAGACCTTGACTCAAAAAAAAGAAAGAGAGCGAGCAAGCGAGCATGCAAGAGCGAGCGAGCAAGCAAATCACTGAAGGGCCAGGGAGATAGCTCGGCAGTCTAAGTGCCTGCCTGGCAAGTGCAAGGACCTAGATTTGATCCCCGGTACCACATGCCATGCCAGCCCCCAAAAGAGCTAGCCACCGAAACTGGGCATGGCGGTCTGCGCCTGAGGCTGAGACAGGAGGATCACTACGAGTCTGAGTTATATAGCAAGACCCTGTACCAAATCAATCAATCAATCAATCAATCAATCAATCAAACAAACAAACCATGGAAAACAGAAGTAACAGAGCAAGTGCTGCCAAGTTTAGGCACAGTCAATGATGTTTAAGGAAAGACTGAGTAGGGGAGGTCAGTATGATGCGCAGGAGACTGCTCAGAGCTGGTTCTCAAGAAGGGTTCAGATAATGAGGTGTAGGACAGAGTTTCAGAGGACAAAGGCAAAGAGAAAAGGGCAGGTGCTGAGGAAGGGGTGAGGTCCAGGCAGGAGCTGTGTGGTGGGCCAGAAGAGGATGACAGTAGGTCAAGGACAGCTGGGTGGTCAGACTGTGAATACGGACAGGCGGAACAGTTTAGCCTCGAGGGCAAAAACAGGCCATTCAGGAAAGGGAAGCAGGAGCAGTAGAGCCTGAAATAATCTGGCAGTGCCTTAGAAAATGACTAAAGGGCAAAGGCAGCAATGAACCAGGCAGCAGCTGACACATTCCAGACTACAAGGAAAGCAGAGGGAAGAAGGGAATTCCAGGGCATCCCCCCATGCACTTCAACTGCTCCTTCCAAACCTTTCCCTATGAAGCTACTCCCTTAGGGTGACACCCACCTCCTGGCCAATCTTTTTTTTTTTTTAAATTGTATTTATTTATTTGTGTGTGTGGCCAGCTCAGCCCACCAGGGGGCAGGGCTGGCTGACATGTGGTGCTGGGGGAATTGAACTGCGGTCCCTGTGTTTTGCTAAGCTTGTTCTAAGTAGGTGCTTTAGACCACTGAGCCATCTCACCAGCCCCTCTCCTGGCCAATCTTGTTGCCTTCAGAATTTAGTGGCATTTGCAGAAACTTCAGCACGTTTTTGGTTTTGTTTTTTTTTTTTGGTACAGGGTCTCACTATGTAGATCAGACTTATAGTGATCCTCTTGTTTTCAGCCTCCCCAGTGCCTGGGATCACAGGCGTGTACCACCATGCTCAGACTAGGTCGCTGGCTCAGCATGCCCAAGGGTGGGGCCGGCGTGGCATGTTGTACCAGGGATCGAGCCCCAGTCCCTGCGCTTGCCTAAGCATGCGCTTAGTACTCTGAGCTATCTCCCCAGTCCCCACCCCTGCAAGTTTTTAAGGGAAAGCAGAGCCAAGCCCTGTCCTCTCAGAACTTGGTAACTCACCACAACAGGCCCATCCTCTTGGGCCAGGTAGGTGATGGTTGCCGAGGTAAAGTTGAAGTAACCAGCCTTGAGAGGTCTCAGGACCACAGTGTGCGAGACGTTGCTAGCGCTGGCCCAAGAGTTAAGGGAGGGAAAACAGATGAAGCTACTGTGCCAACCATCTTTCATCTCGTGGACTAAATGTACCATTCCCAAAACAGCTGCCAACATATGTGGTGATCTCGTCATCTTTTTTTTTTTTTTCAGAACTGGGGATTGAACTCAGACCCTTGCGCTTGTTCCACTGAGCCATCTCCCCAGCCCTGCGTCTGCTCTAAATCATGCTTACACATGTACAGTGGTCCCTCTTGCTTTGGTTTATCCAGAGGTATAACAGAACAGCCATGCAGGCCAACCTGCCTGATACCCCCTTGCTGCTAAGTTCCTTCCTCCTTCCCAGCCCCTGTTAAACAGAGCTAAGAGGATACGGGGCAATCCGGTCCCATTTGACATTGAGCATACCAGAGACAATGCCAAAATCTTCTGGGGGAAAGGAATCATCAGATAATTCCACATCCAATGCAGCACTACAAAACAGAAGAAACAGAGTTTGTAGGCAACCAACACTCGAATCTGCTTGCTTGTCCTAAAAAGGTCAGAACTCAAAAGAGGATCACATAGTAATTTGGGCTTGTTGTACTGAAGAATTCAGGTCAAGGACTGGATTCCATTACTCAAAAGTACCAAAATACTTGCATATCTAGAAGGGACTTGCCCCAAATCCATTCTGCCTCACTCTGTGTGTGTGTGTGTGTGCGCACAACATATTCATGTAGGGAGGGGAAAGAGAAGGTAAATAAGGAATAGAAAATTAAAAGGAATAAATGACAACACAAATGTTCACAGGCTAATGAGATAAGGAAGTTGAAACTTATATCCATGAGGTGACAAAGGATCACATATTCATGAATCATCTTCCCCTCCTTATTTCATAATTCTTGCTTCTTCTCTACTCTGAAACTCTTCCAACCTTAAAAAGGGTAAG